ATTCATTCAGTAGAGGTGGCGACAATCTAAACAAAGCATGCAAATGCAATACAGGAATCAGCCCGTTACCGGAATTTCTCCAGCCCTGATCTCATCAGCATAACAGTGTCATTCAAATGCATAGGTGCTAATCCAATCAGCATAACTACTCAAAGACTGGGGCGGAGGCACCAAGAGCCATTACAAACAAAAGGTGACTTTCTTAGTAATTTGGTTAATTTGACTAACAATAAGAGAAACCGGAACAGACAGGAACCTCTTGCTATACTTTGTTTAAGATAATCATTTGTCTGATGTAATTTACCTTAAATGCTAAATACAATGTACTTCACCTTAGTTTTTCATGTGATGCTATGTCAGAATATAGTATCAGCATATTTTAAACAGATTCTTAAATTTGTAATCCAACACCACTTAATATAAAGTGTAATTGTTAGGCTCATTGTTGTGTGCCATCAGTGTCGTTACACGATAATTTCATAGGAACTTCCCACTTACATTGTGAAATGTTACATGTTAATGAAATGCCCAAGTATTAAACCTTGATTGTTTCTCAGTAAGTAAAGTATAGAGGACTGCAATAAAAGAGAAAAATGCAGTAAAACTAAACAATGTTTATTAACACATTACACTCAACAGTGTAACAGATTCTAAAGAAAGTATACCTGCAGTTGGGTTACCACTAAAAGAGCATACAGTCCTTTAGACTGCCTAAAATAAAAATAAAGACCTAAAATAGAAAAACTCTGTTATTGTGAATCTAAATATGCTTTTAACATACTGACATTGTTGTAAATGAAATACATTATACATTATCAAATAAGTAAAAAAGCTTGTACAACTAAATTGTATATCATCAACCAAAATTGGGAACTCAGTAGCTGGGTTTCCATCACCTTGCTTTTATGCTTGCATTTTGAAGTATCACATCAGAATCGAGAGATGGAAACGCTGAATTTCGAATAAAAATGCCTTAGTTTGCAAAAAAGTTTTTACGGTCGCTTGAGGTGGTTTTTGACTTGTGCGAAAAATGGTTAATGCGAATAATGGGAGATGGAAATGCATTTTGCGAATAAATTCCTCCAAGCGCATCAAAAAAGTCATGTGACTTCGTGCTATGGGACGGCATAACCTGACTAACCAGCGGATTGATCTCATTCCACAGCATCTGAAATGTTATTTTGGTCATTCGGAAATGCACGAGCAAAGTCTGTCATCAAAGTATTTCTGTATAATTGCCTCCCTGAAATGTCTTACACGACTGCATTCCCAAACAGCGGCATCCACCTCCGAAAGCAATGACCGCATTCATTGCGTTTAGTCTGCTCGCTCTGAAGCACAAGTAATTTATTATATATGAAAATTATTATATTCTCCTACTTTTCTTAGTGATTTATAGTGCCAGTTTATCAGGAAGTGACGATTTTGTTCTCTTTGACTTGTTGGATGGAAACGATGCTTGTTCGCAAATGTTTTATGCGATATTCCAGTTTTGCGCACAAGTTAAATTCGCAACTTTGGATGGAAACCCGGCTAGTGTGAATTAAATCCAACGTGAACTGACGTGAATTACAAAATTTACCTTAAAACAACATCTAAACATAATTTTGTTTGTTTTGTAAGCTTGGAGATTTTTTGTCTTTTTATCTCAACTTATATGCTATTGGTAGTAGTTTATGCTCTTTTTTTTGGCATTTTCTATGGCAGATCTGAGTTGAAGAGCTTCTCCTCCTTGGCTGTGAACTTCAGGATGCTTCGGTAAAACTCTGGATCAACAAGCTGTATTTCAGCCACAACAGCTGTTAATGTGAGTGTATTTCAGTCAACCCCAACTTTGGTGCATGCCTTACTGATGCTCCCTTCTTTTTTGAAGGCATGAAAAACTTTATTGTACCGCTTCAGTACATCGTCTGGGGTTATTGCTGTAGAAGATCAAAGCTTCTTAAGACAAACCAAAAAAAAAACAAGACTTGTATCAAATAGGTTTCCAAAAACAAAAGGGTCTTTAATGAAACAAACTCACATAATCCACATGCAAGAAAGCAATGTAACACCACGTTTATTTGAACCTTTTTCTTCTTCATCATCTTCTGAACCGGATTGTGACAGAATACCAGACCACAAAAGTATGGAGGATTATGTGGAGGAGTTTTTGAGCGTTTGCCATTTTGCCATTGTGCCACCTGCAGTGACATCACGCTGATGGAGGGATTCTGGGTCCATACCTGCAAACACACATGAGGTCAAAAAGGTGACATAGTTTGGAATATAAACCTTGTAGGGGGGTCTGGGGGCACAAAATAAAGGGAAAAAACATCTGCTTCAAGTAAAAAGCCACAATTTATACCACTAACTTTTTGGACAGTCCAACTCTGTTGTCATCGGTGTTCATACTTCTCTTTGTGAGCAGTGGCGTAATTTATTTTTGCAAATTTTAATGTTCACATTACACTATACATACTATTAACAAACTCCATCTTTTCACTGCAGAGGAAACAGAAGCTGCATCTGAAGTGGCATTAGATGCATTTATGCAGACGGTTTAATGAAGCTGAGGTACCATAAATGCATTTACACCACAAAATTTCAAATGTATAAAAAATTTGATAAGATTAATGTTTTAAATATTTTTGAACATACAGGTGCATCTCAATAAATTAGAATGTCGTAGAAAAGTTCATAATGTTTTTTTTATTGGTCTTATGAAGTATTCTAATTTGTTGGGATAGTGAATTGGTGTGTTTTTGTTAAATGTGAGCCACAATCATCACAATTAAAAGAACCAAAGACTTAAGCTACTTCAGTCTGTGTACATTGAATTTATTTAATACACGAGTTTCACAATTTGAGTTGAACTACTGAAATAAATTAACTTTTCCATGAAATTCTAATTTATTGAGATGCACCTCAGAAAATAAATGACTTCTTACCACTGATGTCGTCATTATAGTGGGATGTTCCAGTTAAGTTTTGAAAACTTCCTGGATGTCATTCAGTGTAAAAATCACTCACATTAGACATGTTTAAGTGCAGCAATTTATTAATTCTGATAGAAAGCAGAATATCAGCTGAAAACAGCAAAGTTTGCATCACATCTGTGAAAACAATCTCTCTGGGCGCATGTGACGTACATGTATTTGTATAGCCTAAGCATTTATGCCTCCGTTTGTAATGCATGTATGCTACAGAATGCTTCAAGATACTAAACGATTTAGAAAATTTATATCAGTGACTTTTCAAAGTTTACAAAATAACATGAGGCTATTGATACTAAGTGATGGTACGGTAATAGTCAGAATAAAAACATGCAACATCATTTTCGAAGATCAGTTTCATCAGATTCAGCATCAATCATGTAGTGAAGTATTGGGTTCAAAATTGGAACAGAGAATAGAGAATAACAGACATATCATACTTTGTATAGCTATGTTGGTAGTCAATTAAACATTTTTGTGACAATATTTGAGCATATTTGTAAGAGAGAAAACTGTTACAGTATCCAAAATGTTTAAAGATATCATAAAAACATATGTTTAATATTTACTCAAATACTTAAATATGGCTATATAGTCATAATCCTGACCCACGTAAACTCCACAGATGTATAACTGTGAACTTAATGTATTCAGATACATGTAATTGATAATGTTAAGAACTACAGCATGTGTAACTGCAGTTCTACAGTCTCGCCGACAGAGGACAGTGTGCAGATTTACATCAGAAAGGATACTATATTTACACTTTCAACATATTTGTAAATAATACAGATGCCTGCACCAATGTTGTCAGACAAAACACACAGAAACAGGTTTTTACCTATGCAATGTGACTCCAGCTGCATACTTCCTCTATCTGTTTTCTAGTTGGCAATAATGAAAGAAATGTGAAGTAATTAAGAAATAAGTATAGTGATACGCTGACATTTAGCGTTTAGTTTATGTTCTCTTTCTACAAATGTGTAATTATGATTCGTTTTGAACTGCTGCACGTTTTTCATGTTGAGATAAAAGTTCTTATGCTTTTTAAACTGCTATGAATCATTCAAAACTCTTTTGATCAGTCATTCAGTTTTCAGGAGAGCAGCTTATTTACATGATTATGTGTCATCAGGAAATAAAAATCCACATTCAGAAGTGATTACTACACAAATATTTCTGTAAGAATGTGGACGGTTAACCAATTACCCAACCATAACAAATTGTTCAAATATTTTTTTGACTTGTGGCACCCACAAAAAATGTCCTCCAGCAAGAACAGCAATGCTTGGAATTTACCATTTTCATTTTGGTATAAGAAACATTTACTGTTTTGTATCACTAAATACATTTTTAAACTTCTCTCGCATGTATTCTGTAAGCTGAAATTTAGAAGATTGCAGATTTCTTGAGAAGACCTAAAAAGGAATTTGTTCAGTTAAATGTATTTATCCAAACTCTCAACAGTTTCCTGTTTTGTGTATTTTCTCCATTCATCTGGAATCTCACCACTGCCTTCAAATGTTTTATTGTAGTATTTTTCCAAATCTTTTTGGAATCTGCACACAAACCACTTCCAGTAGGGCAGTTCAGAGAGGTCAGGAGTGATGCTCCACTTCGCAAGAACTCCTCCTGCTCTTCTGTATTCTCTCCAGGGGACTACATTTTCTGAGGCATTGGGATAAAATGATCGATTGCTGCTTGCTACTGATGTTGTGCAGATCCAAACACCCAAGTTAGTTGTATACCTGAAATGAATGCCATTTAATCCATCCACTCTGTGGAAAGGAACACTGTGATCTCCATCATGGTTTTCTATGGTGTTGGTGCAGATGGCTTTACAGAACGGACACTGAACCCAACAGCACTGACAGAAGTGGTCAATCAGAAGCTCATCTGGTCTGAATTTATAGTCCAGCTTTACTGGAAATGTCTTTGTGTTGAATCTGCATCTGATGACAGAAATTATAGCGGGAAGATCTTGTCTCATCACATCTTCTAGGAGTTTCACATCAACACCATCATGTTTAACTCCACTGAGGTCTTTTTCAGAGAAGATCAGCACATCTGAGAGCTGCTGTGTGAAACTCTTCAACCACAAACCAACATCTCCTCTCTTCACTTGAACATGTTCAGTAGATTCATGAGCTGCTTTCATGATCTTCTGCTGCAGGAGGTTAATGTTCTCCTCCATCTTGGGTAAAACACTGACACTGAACTTATCAGTGATGTACCGACTGACTTCATCTCTGATGAAACTCTTGAAGTGATTTCTGGGTTTATGAATGTAGTTCATGTATTTGTTAAAATTCTCCTCATCTGCCAGTGTCTTCAGGATGTGTTTCTCCAGATTTGATCTGTTTCCATTCAGCGATTCACAGTTTGATCTCATTTCATCTGCCAGATCTCTGGCAGTCTTCTTGTAGACGCTCTGCTCAATGGGCTCTTTAAGTTTCTGACAGATGATTTCACCAAAAATGGCAGCTGAAGTTGCTCTATGACAATATTTCATGTAAATACTGAAATACTCTTCTCTCTTCTTCTCAACATATATTACAGGATCATTGGCTTCTCGAAACAGTCTGTATTGGTCAGTGATCATCTTGTTTGCTCTCTTACAAATGGAAAGAACCAAATCAATGAAGAATTCATTTTTGAACTTATATTTCACTGGCCCTTCTTGATGTTCTGTTACTATTTCCTTGATGTAATCTGTGAGTTGTTGAATGTAGCTGATGTTGTAGCCCATCATTGAAATATTAAATGACTGAATCATTTTATCTGTCTGCTGGACAACATTTGCAACTAATGATCTTATTTGGGCTTCATCTTCTGGAGACAGAGTTTGAGCATAGGTGGGTGTTTCTTTGACCTCCCTAAACTCACTTTTTTTTGTGGACTTTCTGAAAATAACATATTCAGAATAATTCTGCACAGTAAAAATGTCCCTGCTGTCATTCCAGTGACCTAAACGGGTACTTTTACAGAGGTCACTGAGGACAATTTTTACATCTCTCAATACATCAATGTCTTTGATTATAGGAGTGTCTGTGATGATCTTCTTCATACTCTGTTCCCAAAACAAATCAAACTCTTTCTTCAGTGTTTCCTCATCTGTTTTGTCTTTGAGTGTTAAGGCAAGTTCTTTGCTCTTTTCATAGAGAGTGTTCATATGATGTGTCCTCTGAGCATCAATCTTTTTCTTCAGGTCTTGCTGCTGAAGAATCTCATTTAATTCTGGGTTTATGAATGTAGTTCATGTATTTGTCAAAATTATCCTCATCTGCCAGTGTCTTCAGGATGTGTTTCTCCAGATTTGATCTGTTTCCATTCAGAGATTCACAGTTTGATCTCATTTCATCTGTCAGATCTCTGGCAGTCTTCTTGTAGACACTTTGCTCAATGGACTCTTTAAGTTTCTGACAGATGATCTCACCAAAAATAGCAGCTGATGTTGCTCCATGACAGTGTTTCTGGAAAATACTATAGAACTCTTCTCTCTTCTTCTCCAAATATATTACAGGATCATTTCTGTCCCTGGACAGTCTGTGTTGTTCTGTGATCATTGTGTTTGTTCTTTTACAGAGTGAAAAAAACAAATTAATGAAGAACTCTTTCTTGAAGACATATTTTGCTGATTCTTCCTGATGTTCTGTTACTCTCTTCCTGATGTAATCTATGAGTTGTTGAATGTAGCTGATGTTGTAGCCCATCTTTGAAATATTAAATGACTGAATCATTTTGTTTGTTTGCTGAGCAACATCTGTGACTAATGATCTTATCTGAGCTTCATCATCTGGAGACAGAGTTTCAGCAAATCCATGTGGTTCTTTAACTCTTTGTGCAGACTTTCTGAAAATAACATATTCCGAGTAACTGAGCACAGGGAAAATATCATTGTATTCGCTGCCTTCTTTCCAGAGATCAACAGGGAGAATTCCCTGATGAATGTCATTAAGAAGTCTTTTCACATCCCTCATTGTGTCAATGTCTTTGATTATAGGAGTGTCTGTGATGATCTTCTTCACACTGTGTTCCCAAAACAAATAAAACGCTTTCTTCAGTGTTTCGTCATCATTTGTTTTGTCTTTGAGTGTTAAGGCAAGTTCTTTGCTCTTTTCATAGAGAGTGTTCATATGATGTGTCCTCTGAGCATCAATCTTTTTCTTCAGGTCTCGCTGCTGAAGAATCTCATTTAATTTTCTCTTTGTTTCTCTCACAATGTTTTCCTGAATCTCTTTGATTTTAATCTCAAATGATGTTTTCCACTGAATCATTATATCTTTATCCTTTTCTTTCTCAAAGAACTCTGACATTGATTTCTCTACTTCTTCACTTGTCTTCTTCAGTTCTCTTTGAAGATCAGTTTCTTCAACCTCATGAATTACTTCATTTTCTATTTTGTTGTGTAGTTTGTTCTCAGTTTCCAACATGGCTTTGCGAAGTCTCCAGGACCATTTGCTGCATTCAGTCTCCAGTTTCCTGTAGACTGAAATCTCCAGAGAATTTCTGAAACTGAAAACGAACCCTTCATTCAGTAAAGCCTCCCAGAGATCTTTAATACGATCTTTTATGTCTTTTAGCATTATTCCATGTGATTTGGAGGCATTAGACATGATAGTTTCCTTTAGTTCTTGAATGTTCTCACAGTAGTTTGGGTTTGTAGGTGCCATGGGTGGACTGCCCTCCCAGAGATGAGGAAAATACTTCACATCATTCTGAACATCAAATCTAATGATATCACTGAAACATTCATCATCACAGACTTCCTCCACAGCAGCGAGTTTTGTCATCTCATCAAGTTTCTCCTGCAGTCGTCTCCTTCCCTCCATGTTTTTCTCTCTAGCTGTGATGTCTGAAACGTTCTGATGCACAAACACACAGCTGGGATTCAGTCTGACCTTCTTCATCCTCATGAAGGCTTGAACAACAATCTGAAGAATGTCCTGCATCTCAGATGGGTTTTCACCAGAGATGTTGATCAATGTCAGATTTGCAAGACCTACAACAAATGTGGCCAATTCATTGTCATGATCTCTAGTTGATCGTCCAGCCAGTTCTGGAGCACGAAGACCCTCAGTGTCAACAACCAGAATATAGTCAAAGTTCAGTTGTGTTTTCATCTCGTCTGACACTCTGACCAGCTGCATGAAAGCTCCTCTGGTGCACCTGCCAGCACTGACGGCAAACTGGAGTCCAAACATGGCGTTCAGCATGGTGGATTTCCCAGAGCTCTGAATCCCTAAAACTGACAGCACAAAGACTCTCTGGTCTCCCAGTTTCTGGACGAGTTGATCTAGAACAGCAGAGATCCAGATCACAGGAACATGAGAAGCATCTCCATCCATCAGCTCCAGTGGAGATCCAGAGATCATCATCTCTGCTGCAAGACTCGGGAGAGAAGAGAAGTCTTTCAAGTCTTTCTTGTTCTTCTTCACTGATTCACATGATTCATAGATTTGTCCGATTTCCCTCATGATGTGCTCCAAACCAAAGGCTGCAGCTTGAAGATCCTCAGATAGTCTCTCAAGTTCTGATTGTTTAGTTTTGTTTTGCTCAGATTTTTCCTTGTTCTCTTCACATTCTAAACCTGTTGACCATTTTTCATTATACTTTTGATGTAGGGCATAAAGGTCAGCTGATGTATATTCATCCAAGAGGATTCTGAGCCATTTAAGAAAAAACATCTTATTTGCAGAATCTGAGTTCATTTCTTTAATAAAGAACTCCATAAACTCACTGATGTCAAAATCATGTTGCTGTTCACGGATTTTCATCATTTTTGTTTTCTTTCTATTTATTTCCTTTTCTAGTTTATCTCCTTGAGGTCGATGTAGTTCTTTGTTCTTCTGACTCCACTGATGCCACAGTTTCCCCTGATGAGGCATAAATGATTCTTTGATTTTTGTCAGATCTTTCTTCTTCAGTAAACTCATCATCTGCTGTGCTGCTTCTCTTCCTCTCCTGCAGTCACCATCATCTTCCTCATCTACTCTGATATCTGAGTGTTTGGACGACACATCTTCAAGTCTGAAAGTGCAAGATGATTCTGAGATGCAATCATTTATAGTTTTTTTTTAATTCTTTAGAGACATCTGGGTGATTTCTGTCTTTTAGGCCAATCTTGTATTTTCCTTTCTTTGTCTGAATTACAGTAGATTCATCTTCAGTTAAAAGGCAAATGAGTGGCTTTCTGTCCTTGTACAGGTTTTGTATCTTTGCTGAATGTTTGTCGTTCCTGTCCAGTTTTGGTAGAAGAACAACATTGACTGAGGCCATTTCAGTGAGGATCTGCAGCTGTTTCTCATGGTCTCCTGCATCACCGTGTAGATTACAGAACGCAACACAGTCAGTGAATTTGTCCGTATCCTTTCCAGAGGGCCAGAACCAGGCGATCTCCACCACTCCATCCATCAGGACTCTGGATGTGCTGCTGCCTGGGCAGTTCCTGTGGAAGAACGTGTTGTGTTTCTCATTGATCAGATCATTCATCAGCTGAGACTTGGATGAAGACACAGAGCCAAACCTGAAGAAACACACCATTGGAGTTTCTGCCTTGTAGATCGGCTGCGTTTGAGTGATAATCTCATTTTTGGTGTTTCTCATCTTCCAGCTCTTGTTGATTTGTCTGAATGTCCAGAGAGGAAACTCAATCTGCCGTGTGAATGGATCAGGAACAAGCAGAGGCAGAGCGTACTGACACTGGGACAGTTTAGTCACCATCAGCTGCTTCAGGAAACCATCAGCACAATAAAACACTGCCATCTGAACATCCATCGGGTGGATGAGATCAGATTTGCTTGTTCCTTTGTTAGAGATAGACATTTCATTGAAAATATCACTCTCATCATCAGATGAGTCATTGTATCTTTGCGGAATATGATCCTGTTCATTAATCTCCTCAACGCTAATATTTCTTGCTCTGTAGTTCATCATCAGTAGTTTTTGTATGAAAGTCTGAATCAACTCCTCTTCAGCACAAGATTCACAAGACTGTAATGAATGTTTGGTTATCTGAAGAACATCTGCAGCTCTCAGATTACCGTATCTGCCTTCAAGATGCAATTTGTGAAATAGATTATTCATTTTTCCAATCTTTTCTGTTGTAGATAGTGATCTGAACTGACTCCTGCTTTTGCACAGTGCTTGTTTTTCCCTGTTGAAGTAATAAGCATTTAAGTTATTTTGATCATTTTGGCTTTAAACAAATAAACACAATCACTCTAGTCTGAACTCTCCTGACTGGGTCTAGTACAGAAATATTGATAAATACTGATAGCAGTACCATTTCTCCAGGAGCTTATGTAAGCATAATTAACAATAACTTCAAGACACAACCACATAGTAGGCCATTTCAAATTCTTAATCTTCCCCTAATTGAAGAAAGCTGGTGACCAAACAGTATTGGTGCTTACTGACCACTTTTTTTATCAAATTTTTCAAAATTATATGGATAACTTCTTTTGTGTTCCACAGAAGGAAATAAGTAATGCCAGTTTGAAACAACATGATGGTGAGTAAATTATATGGGTGTCCCTGACTAAGGATAGACAGGGGGTCGAATTCGATTTGTCAAGTGTGTGTGAGGAGGGGTGGGATGGTGTGTGGTGGGGTGAAGAAAGGCCACACAGCAGACAGGATTTGCATTTCACTTCAAAATCAAATTAAAACGGCTAAATTGCCTGTGCGAGCACCCTCTAAGTACAGCGCAACATCGATGCACCAAAAAGCAATAAAAAATTAATTTGCAGAATTAAATTAGAACAGAATATACCTTAGTAATAAAAAAAAAATTATTGAAATAAGTCAGAATAAAGTCACAAGGTGCAGAACAAATGTGTGCAAAATGCCAAATGCCTGTTTCACACAAGCGGCAACCTTCCGGTCTCTCTCGTGAAACCAACACGGAAGTGACTAAAACTGCAATTCATAGACTTGCCGCTAGAGTCTGGCTCCAAAAGGGAGTCAGTCCCATAGACTCCCCATGTTAAAATGGCCAACTTTACAGCAGAAAAAAATATGTTTACAGCCTGGTACAAAAAGTGGTTTTGGTCTTTAAAGCTTATTTTGCTCTTCATGACAACTGTGAGGGGGGGTGAATGTTTTTATAACTCGTTCGTTTAAATCATATTAAGCCTTAAAGTTCTGCATATTTAAGGGCGTGGCCACTTGAGTGACAGGTGGATTGCCGCTGCTGTCACCACCGTCGAGCTAGGTGGGCGTGGTTTCAGCAACCAGCTCCCGCCTCTGGCCATTTTTGATTATCCGGGAGTATGCTGCCAAGATGGTGACGGCCGTCTCCGACTACTTTAGACTTCAAAAACGCTCTTTGGAAACCGACGGGTGACGTCACGGACACTACGTCCATGTTTTTATACAGTCTATGGTTTCACACATACGGAGTGTCTACTTACACTAAGTGCAAATAGCCCGCCTTGTTGGCAGATGCTATTTACACTAGCTCCACCCACAAACGTGTGAAAGGGATGGTCAACAATATGAAAGACGGCCGATTATTGCCAGCTCCCTGCCGGTACGAGACTCGAACCCGCAACCTTTGGGTTACGAGTCCGACTCTCTAACCATTAGGCCACGACTTCCCCCGACTATAGACGCCATATAAACTTTGAGTGTGAAAGGGGTGTGCCCGTTGTCCAGAAAATATTGCAAGAAAGTCAGCACGTGGGACACGTCACAAGAAATTGGATACAGGCTTCGTGTTGAACACCAGTCATGGAAGACTGACCATTTAAGGGCATAAAGGCGTCTTGTAAATGATGCTCAAGCCTCTAAATTGTTGTTGCTTACTCTCGCTGGGAGCAGACATGAAGGCTCCACAAGTCTGGTTGGGGGTGCCAAATCATGCCCTTCATCTGCAAGATAATATCCTTCCTCAATGGTTATCAGCCATGGGGCTGCTGCTGACAGCTGCACTAATTCAGGGAACCATGTCTGGTTCCTCCAGAGTGGGGCCACCAGGAGGACTGAGCATTTGACTTCCCTGACCCTCTTGATGACCCGAGGAAGCAGGGTAATTGGGGAGAAGGCATACAGGTGAGCGCTGGGTCAATCATGAGCCAGGGCATCTCACAGCATTGAGAAAGAAGTTGGACAGTGAGAGTTGTCTTCTGAGGCGAAAAAGTCAATCTCTGCCCTACCGAAGAAAGACCAAATCTCTTGAACCATTTGAGGATGTAGTGTCCATTCTTCCGGAGCTACATTGCCTCTGGACAGCATGTCTGCGCCAGACTTCCCAGACTGCCCGGCACAAGAACCGCTCTTAGCGAAAGGAGTTTGATCTGTGCCCTAAATAAGAGGCGCTGAACCATCCTGTAACGGGAACGTGACTACCCTGCCTACCTCTGTCATGATGTCTGACCGGACCAGGACGTGGTGCCCTTTTAATGCTGGCAAGAAGGTTTTTTGGGCCAGGAAAAGTACCATTATCTCAAAGCAGTTGATATCCAGGCGTTGCTCTGGGGCTGACAAGGAGCCGAATGCCAGATTGCCCTCCAACAGAGTGCCTCTGTTGTGACTACCTTCCTCTTGGAGGTCAGTCCCAACTGCACACCTGATTGACACAGGCAAGAAGTTGTCCAGGGGGCCACAGTTCTGATTCAGAGATGAGTTACACCGATGTAAAACCAGCCCAGGCACCAGATGTGGGACGGGGACACAGGCTTTGAGCCAATATTGAAGAGGCTGCACGTGGAGCAGGCCTAGAGGAACCACAGAGGAGGCGGCCGCCATAAGGACGAGCATCGTCTGGAATACCCTGAGGGGATGTTGTGACAATGTCACATAAGAGACATGTTTTATTGCTCTATTTATTGCAACAATTTTATGTATAATAGAGTTTTAACTGGTTTACATGTTTTTTAAGTCCATTTTATTCCTCTTAACATTTTTAGTGTGTATGTGTCTGTAAGAAATGTATGGTTGGCCTGTCATGTGACCAGTCACCTGACAGGAAGCAGGAACTGTATAAAGAGAGCAACATGGCCAACAAACATGCAGTCACTAACAGCTATCAAATTTACCTGGATTGTGGAGTTTCCTTTGTGTGGATTTACCTTTTTAGATTGACTTGCAAGCTTTTGGATTATCACTTATTTTGGACTCACCTGGTGGACTTCTTCAGCACACTAGGATTCTTGGGCTATTTTTAGGGTATGGTGCAATGAACTGTATACTTTTAACAGACTGAGTTTTACTGGTTTTATTGATTTGTTTTGTTTTGTTTTAAAGTCTCGTGAATTTGGGACTGTAAATACATCGTTCTTACTAAATTGATCTGTTTTATGTCATTCTTTTAACACCTACAAACCTTTCACACAGTAAAATCTGACCCCATTTTAAACTTTGAAACCCAGCCTTTTAGGCTGATCGTTACATATGGTGGCCCGTACGGGGATTGTTTAAGAATTTATAAGCTGTGTTGAGAACGTGTTAAAAGATAACGACTCATTTTGTAAATGCTGGTCCTTCTAAAACACCTGCAAATTTTTATGTTGAATGGATTATGCACCATTGTGATTGTGGACAGCTGTGCGCTGAAGTACTTTCTCTTAAAAACATTGTTTTAAAGCTGAAGAAGGATTTCAGACTGAAAGACTGTCGAAAGTCATTTTAACCGTGAAATATATTTTTGAGCGGCTGTGGATGTAAAAATGTAGTGAGATGGAGAAATATGTGAAGGAGGCTGTGGCAGCAGCCTTCAAGAAAGAGGTTGTGGAGTGCTTTCGGAGGAGAAATAAACAGTGGGCAAAACCAAATTTAACCCCCTTGAGTTTTGCACTGTTAAGAGTATATGCAGTATCGTAGTTTCCCAGTAGGGGTCGTTAGATTAACTCATTGACTGAGACATAAAGAGTATAGAACAGGGGTGGCGAACATTGGTCCTGGAGAGCCGCAGCCCTGCAGAATTTTACCGGAGGTGTTCATTTGTGGGTCTGTTTGAGGTTCGATTTCCTCGTGATTTGTGAAAGCAATGAGGTCCCGGTACACTTTGTATGGACTGACATAACAGTAATTCTTGAGGTTGAACTAATCATTTTATTATTTGTTTAGCTTATCTTTTATGTATACTTTATTATTAATCAATGCACTTTCAGTTGTTTCAATCTCGTTACATTTTTTTCAAAAATAAGTAAATAAACCAGCTGTTAACTTTAAATAATTTAATGCACAGTTAGCCACAGATAACATTAATAACAACAGAATTATTTTGTATTCTTAATGCATGACGGAGGCAAAGAATCGCCCGACGTGTATTCTGTCCACTTTAAATCAGACACCGAGATAAAGTAGTGTGGTAAGATCACTGTATTTAAATGCATGAATTCCATGTGGCCAAGAAAAAAGAGCCTGATAACACCTCCCTGCCGTTAGGGACTACCTTGTGCGCTTTGTGCAGTGTTGTAGTGAGAGAAGAACGCAGTGCTCTTCCATAGTGATGGGAAGTCCGGTTCTTTCAGGACAGTTTGTTTCAATGAACCGGTTCAAAAAACGGTTCATCAGTTCTTTTACACCCTAACGTAATCATGTCATTTGCGATAATGTAATGATATCAAGTCTATCGTCCCGGGCCAGGATGAAAATACACATTATAAAGTATAAAGTAAGTAATCATAACTTCAGTCAATTAAAACCTCATAACCATGATCTGACAAGTTTACAGATCATTAAGTTTTGCAACTAAGCACCCAAATACAGTAACAGGCAGTGACGTGCATAGGAGGATTTAAGTCTTGAAGATATAAAGTTAATAAATTTGTTGTCATCAGCGCAGAAACCATAATCCACTTACTATACATAATCCATTGTGATTTATTTGGTATTAAAAAAACTTGCGTTTCGTCAGATTGCCCCTCATTCAAGTCCTTGGTTTACCCGCACTCTCAGAATCAGTTGTCCAAAAGAACTAGTTCGGTTCAGACATGCTGTGTTAGTCATAGTAGGCAATCATGTACTGTTCGGTAGCTTCATGCTGAATCACACATATGCGCAGGATCATCAGCTCATCGGTTCTCAAATCAGACGTGTCCGAAAGGAACCGTTCTCAATTCAGTGTACTGGTGATCCGA